TTATCCTAAGGCAATGATTTCCAACTATTGTGCAAGCAGCAAGAGGCACATTGGTGTACTGCAAGAATTTTTAAAACATGCAGTACCTATTTAGTCAGGGGTACTGACCTCTCATTTGTATTGTCAAATAGAAAATGACAACAGCCAACACGGCAAAGCCATCTGTGGTGAATGAATCAAAATTATACCTTTTTTTCTGTCAGATCGCCAAAAAATGTAGTTTTCCGTGTGCCACACAATTTTAGTAATTAATGTGTGCCATGAGATAATAAAGGTTGAAAATCACTGCCTTAATGGAACAATCACTCTATGGCAGAAGATATATAGAAAAGGACCTTTGTGGTGTTTTTAATTTTTGGTACAGATATTTGATAACTTATATGAAAAAATCTAAATGATTGCATGTATGGGATACAATCAACAAAATGATTATGCATTATATTGATAAGCATGATATTGCCACAAAAAGATACAATTAAGTAAAAAGAGGATTTAAAGATTTTATGTATGTATTTTTAGAAAGAGGGAAAGGAAGGGAAAAAGAGAGAGAGAGAAACATTGATCAGTTGCCTCTTGAACATACCCAACTGAGGCCGAACCCACAACCCAGGCATATGCCCTGACCCAGATAATGCCCAACCCACCAAGAGCCACACTGGCCAGAGAAAAAAAGGAAGACCTAATTATAAAACAATTCATATGGTTTAATTCTTTAATTAAGAGTCTGAAAATAAACACAGAATAGTTATACGATGGGGGACCCCCCAAAAACCGGAATTAATTTGTGAAGGGAGTGCCTCTTTGTAGTACGGGCTTCTACTGCTAGGAGGGTTTTCCAGGAACCCACCTGTATTGGTGTACCAGCTGGCATTGTTATGAGAGGCTGCAGTCAGCTTCAGTGAATTTTTTTTTTAAGATTCTTTCAACCTGTTTGTCCATTTACATAATAACATACTTTCAGGGGTGAGCAAAAAGAGGTTTACCGTTTAAATACAAATAAATAATAATCCAAGAATAAAGTCTGTTTCATGTATTCACAACTGTAAACCTCCTTTTGCCCACTTCTGTACATATATACACATACATATACATACATATACATACATATATATCATTTTTCCCTGAATTATTTTAGAATAAGGTGCAGACATCACACTTCTTGAATTTAGGTATTCTTGTGTGTATTTCCAGAGAATAAGGATACTGTGATATATATAAGCACAGTACAATTATGGAAAATAAGAAATTCATTTTAACAAGATAATACGTAGCTCAGCACATCTAGGAACACACATGCATTTGGTTGTCTTGTCTTTAAACTTCCTTTAAACTGGAACAGTTCTTCAGTTTTTAATGATTTTGAATTTGAAGAGGTCAAGCCACATATTTTCAGAATTTCCTCATTGGGGTCAGGCCAGATAATATTTGAACTTTTTCTCAATTTGTGTTTGCCAGAAATTTCTTAATGATTGGTTCAGGTTGTGCATTTTTGACAGATATGCCACAAGTGATGTTGTGTCCCTCTCAAGTCCATTATACTTGGAGGCACATCATATGTACTTTCATATTATTGATGATGTTGTCTTTGATAATTTCATGTAGGTGGTCTCTTACCAAGTTTCTCTATTGAAAGTTTCTATTTTTCTCTTTGTAACTAGTAGGTGATTTGTGGGAAGATACTTTAAAACTAAGGAAGCATCTTGTTCATCATCATACTTTCCCACAAGTGCTGATTCACAAATATTTTCTTAACTGAATCATTTAACTATAACGTTTGCCCAATGGTGATCTAACCCCACCAACACATCTACTGATATATTTTAAGTGGCATTCTATATAAGGGAAGGGTTTTCTTCTCCTTTTGCACTTTATTTCTTTATTTATATTTTAATTTCTGTAATGAATTTTAATTCTTTATGTTTATTATTTATTTTCGTTTTCCAAGTGTCCTAGATTTGATTGGTGAGAGCTTTTGAAGTTAGATCCTATGTCCTTTGGACATATGCTCATCGTTTTTAAATGCCTTACCCCTCCCCCAGGAAAAGTATTGTTACCTTGAATTCCATACTTCTAGGTCTCCTTCCTGTGTCCATGTTCTAATATGCCAGGGTAGTTTTTCAGTATTTTAATAGTTTTTGTGGACTTTCTGAGAGTAAGTTTTGTGTCACTATTAGAACCTTTGTTTCTCTCTTTTTTTTCTTCCTCACACTTTTTCTGGACCACTTAGATCCCTGAAATACATATAATGGGGCCTAAAAGGTAGCTCTGTTAAAAGTTGGCATTTAATTTTCTGTGTATAGGTAATTTAACATTTTTATTATTCTCCAACTTTCAGTTACACTGAAGACCTAGGATTTGTGCGGATTATTTATTTATTTATTTTTTGTTGGCTGTATATATTTTGCTCAATTTGTGAAATGTTTCAGATTTAGGTGGCTGCTATTACCCCTATTATTATCCAGAAATTCCAAGTCCATATTTTTAAAGCATTCCACAAAACATAGTGTTATTTCAAGTTATTTACAATATGCCATGAGGTAACCAGAATGTGTGGGTGGATTGGATAGCCTTACCTTTAAGTGGTTTGCATTCTCTTAAACTAGTTTATTTAGTTAAATTTAAGGGCTTTTCCCTACTCTTTTATCAAATGGCACACGTATCAATCCAAAAGACTCTGAGAGGTGGGTTCATGGTAAAGTCATATTGTAGATAACTTCTTTGATTTGCATCAAATCAATTGTGTTTTAAATTTCTTCCTTAGCTTTAAAAATTATTTAGACTAATGGAAATTCAAGCACATGAAATTTTAAAACATGTACAGGGTCCAACAGAAGTAATGCCTGCTTGAATGTGGTTGGTAGGGGAATATGGGTGTAATAATTTATAGTTTTAATGTGAACATTTCACCTAAAATGTCATATGGTGTACTTGAGTGTGATATTGTTATGTTACAGAATTACATGCTTATAATGTTGTAATAAAAGATGTTGTAATAAAAAAGGGGAATTATTTGTGCCAGACCCTATATATATATTAAAATAATCAGCACTAAGCAATAACACCTATTAGAATCCAGAAAAATGTATTCATAAGCAGTTGCTTCAACTAATGAAATAAGCTTTTGAGCATAATTAAGGATAGTCCTCCAGTTTCACAGCAAAGAGGTATGATTGTAGTTGGAAGGTAGAGGTCAGGAACAAAACACCCCAGTGTTTGAAAATGACAGAGTAGACAACAGCTTGCAAAAGTAGGAGATAGCTGAGTGCAGAAAATATGTGTCGTCCAACTGGGACAACCATTTCTGTGTTCTCTGGAGACTGTGAACTCAGCCTAACAAAATCTTTGCTCTTTCCAAAAAACTAGAAATAAGGATTCTTATGAGAAATCTTCTAATTTTGAATATTTAAAAAATACTTTTAAATCCATTGTTTCAATTAAACAAACCATGTCAGTAAGCTATATTTGGTTATTCCACCCCAATTTCCACCTCTACTCTGAATGTAATGGAGCGACAAACAGAGCTTATAGTGAGAAGTAATTGGATAAGAAAAGTTGGTTCTGAGCCCACGATCACCTTTTATCAGTTGTGTCAAATTGGGGAAGTCACCTGATCAGTGTTAACTTTAGTTCTCTTGCCTACGAAGATGAACATGCTAAAGCATAAAGAAACATACAGATCTGCTGATGTTACGACTTTATAATTCTATTGAAATTATATGAATTTTCATCTTTGACTAAGCTTTAAGTTTTAAACTTCAAAAAATTAAATTAAAAATATTTATAGTTTCTTCCAAATTTTTTATTTTTATTTTTGACATTTAACTCTAAATGTGCCAACAACATCTATAGTTTCCTCTTGTTTGAGAGGCCTTGTGTTGACCATTAGTGAAGTTCTACTGTGCCGGGTAAAGGATTTTGCCATCCTGTGTGTTTTATACACACTCCAGGAAGGTAAATTAGACTTTCAGCTCAATGTTTGTTCTGTTTGTTGAGCTGTTGATTTGGTTACAACTTGTTTTGGTGAACACAAAAGCAAACCTTCTGTATTAATAAACTGGTATTTCTTTTTAGTATTGTAAAGAACCAAATCTCTTTGGGCAGAAATTCTATTGGTTGTTGAGAACTAATAGTACTCAAAAGATGCTTGCTGCAAAGGGGAATTTTATTTGTATTATCCATATAGTGTTTAATCTATTTGAAACAACATATTGTGCTTTAAAGGTTTTTTAAAAAATTATCATTAGGTTGTGTTTTATTTTGTTTATTTGTACAGTTCTTTTATAAAACAGTATACCCTAAAACACAGTATGTCATTTAGGTTGAAATGTTTTGAACTTTAAAATTAATGTGCTCTTCCCAACACCTTTCCTCTAAAACAAGCAATTTAATTAATAAATTCTGATAAATAACTTTCTGCCTATAATTATTGACTTTCTGAAAAAAGAAAATGGATGTTTGTGTATTTTTATGAGGCATGTGAATGGCATTCCTGCATTTTTCTCAGTGCCTGATCTTCAATTAGAATTGACATGTAATTACAAAGTGAATTGATGCAATTCTCTGGATAAATCAAGCAAAATTCTCTTCTATATCAGAGATCTTCATATGTCAGACAAAAGTGCACTTTAAAAACTTGAAATATTTTAATAACCAACTCAAAACTCCAATTAAATTTAACCTGCAAACACCTCATGTTTTTGAATTGCTTTATGTTGTTCTGCCATGTTCTGGGGGCATTGTGTTTCTCGTATATAATTCTGAAGACAATGTTCAGACTTGCCCATCTTACTTAAGAATGTCCTCCTTTAATGATGTTTAGAACAGTTAGGAATATTTCTATTTATCAGCCCATTATACTTCGCAAAATATATAATCTGTATTTTGCAAAATCTTATTTCAGTATGTTAAGTATGTAGTGTCCAAGTGTGCATTGGTCTGGATTAGTGTTTCTGTGACCTTGGAAAATTGCTTACTCTTTTGGATTTTTTTTCTTTTCACAGATGCATTTTGTAGGAGTATTTTGAGGATGAATGTTTGCAAATCATTTTGAAATTGCCAAGTACCACATACAGTAAGTAATATGTATTTTTACTTTCCCACTCAATTGCAGTCATGCCAAATGAATTTGGCAGGCGGTCATAAAAGAACACATTTCTATTTATAGTTCTTGATATTTGTGAATATTGAAGAAAAATGTGTGTAAAATACAAAAAATTTGATGAGCTATTTGCTAGTTGTGGTTAAGTTGTATAATTTCAAGATTTCTAATAACTGATTTTACTATTGTTCTATGTACATAACTTCCTCAGTATTTCTTATATATTACTTAATATTTATTTTTTCTTAATCATATGTGGAGAAGAGTGAAGGAAAAAATTAGTGTTATTTTAGCCAGTGTTGATACGGAAATTTTAAAAAGTAGTATTGAATTAAGATTTGCTACATATCAGGTAATTTATACATAGTTCCTTTAATTCTATCCCAAATATTTTAAGTTTATTATTTTTATTTATATTTTATAAAGAAGAAACCCAAGACTCAAGAAGTTTTAATACATTGCTCAATATCTATTCAAAGTGATGAATCTGGGCTTTGAACACAAGACTTAAAAAAAAATTGCCTCTGCCAATAACAGAAAAAGTTAAACAACTTATATTTAAGAGCCTGAATATTTTTAAATGTTCTAACATGTTCTGATTATTTCTTTGGGTTTTTGTTTTACTTAAACATTATCCTAAAAATGTTCAAGGTTTTTGCTGTTTGTCTATCATGTTTTGCTTTCATTTCAAATGATGCTTTCTAATACTTAAACTGTTTTGAACTAGTAAGAAATAAGTGAAAATGTAATTTCTTTAAATAAAGATTATAAATCACCTAAATTATTCTTATATAAAAATGTTTAGAATTAGAATTTTGAAGTTCTCCAGGGGTCTTCTTTCATTCATTAAATACAAGTGCACAATTAAATGCTACCATATTATTATTTTAGAGATAGAAGGCACCATTAAAGCATCAATTCCTGGCCTCCCTATGCCCAAATTCCTCTGGAATACAAGTATAAATAGAATTTCCAAAAAAGGTAGAATCAATGATGGCAGCATTGATGTCTGTACGTTTTCTCCAAATACAACTACTTCAAGGAGAAAAAAGGCAGCATAGTGTAGTGGGTTAAGAATTTAGACTCTGGATACATACCACCTAGCTTTAAATCCTGGATTTATTATTTACTAGCTATGTGACTTTGAATAAATTACTTAATTTTTTTAAAAATGGGTGTAAGATTAGGAACTACCTCATTTATGGCAAATGAGATAACACATATAAAGTATAGCACAGTTCTAGGTACAGAGTAAATGTTCAATAAATGTTAGTTGTTATTAAATTGGAATTGAGTTATTTATATGTTTTAATTCAAGTATGTTTGTCAATAAGCATCATAGCTTCATAATCATGTCATATAAAGTTATATAAACACAACATATAAACACATATAAACACAACATATAAACACAACAAAGTTATTCAGTCAATACTGTTGATTGACATGCTCAAAAAGAAACTAAACTTCAGCCTTCTTTATAAACAGAGCAAGGTGCTTTTTAGTAGACATCGTTATTTCTTTGAACTATTAATGAAGAATCAAACCATTTTGCCAAATATCTGTATACAGGGTGGAGGAAAAAGTAGGTTTACAGTTAGTCATGTGGAAAATAATGCAATAATTGATAAATATTAATACAAGAATAAATTCTGTGTTTCTAGTACTCACAACCATATACATACTTTTGTCTCACTCTGTACACAGTATATAAAATTAGCATACATATATATATATCCTATTGTGTGTATATATATCCTATATACCTAGGCTGAAAGTGTTTTTGTGTTTTTTGGAGAAAAGAGGGGCAATTATGAGGTATTTATGGAGTCTGGAATGTTTATTCTGAAGGAGACAGGGCAAATAAATACAAAGTAAAGAATAATGAAATGATTGTCAAATAGTTTGGGAGAATAATCTCATCCAATGTTTTATTAAACAATTTGTAGAAATTGAGAAATGTGGAGAAGAAAACAATGTTTATTAAGCATTTACTCTGTATCATGCTCTTTTCATTCAACCTCTCAGTTAAGCTAAGCAAATGTCATGAAGTAGGTATGTTATTATTTCTGATTTTCATAGGAGAAAAGTGTAGCACAGAAAGTTTAAATCTATCATTCATGAAAATGTTGCTTGATATTGATATAATTATAAAGCTTCTTTTCTTATCCTCTTAACCTGGGTGTTAAGCACTGAAATGCTGTGGCTGATCTAACTTTCTTTTATTTGCATAAAAACACTGATCCCAAACCTCAGATCATACATGTGAATTCTTTAGTAAACAAATAGTTGGTGGTTTATTTTCAACTAAAACAAATGACAATTGCCTTATATTAAGTGTTAATAGGACAGCTCAGGAATCTAAAGCTAATTGCCCAATTGCCTTGAAAAATGCTGTTTGAATAAAGAAAATTTAAAAAATCAAAAAAGCTCCCTCCCTAATGTCAGAGAGTGTACCTTATGCTTTTATTAGTCTTACTTTTAAGAATTTGAAGTGACTGACCACACATTTTTCTTGCAGTCCTTCAGCCACATTTTGCAATGCAGAGAAGCTTGGAATGTAGAGTTTGACTTATTCATTCTCCTCCCTATGCACCATCTTCTGGTATATCAGCTTTCAGGGACATCCTTTAACGCACTTTGGCCACACCGATACTTCACCTTTTCAACTCCTTGGTGATCTTCATCTGCTTTCATTACAGCCATCCACTGATTTCAGTCCCTTTACACATTACTGCTTGAAAGAAGCCATCAGTAACACTTTACCTGAAAGATATTGTCCAACTTTACTTGAGAGATATTGTCCAATTTACGATGAAATATTGTTGCTCTAAAAAGGAAGGGCTCAAGTCTTTTGCATTCTCACATTACTTTGTTTTAAGACTGAAAGATTTATAGGATGCTTTTACTTTCCATTTCAAGATATGGTCTCTGAAAGACAAAGCTAATTACTACATTTAGTAATTCTATTTCATTTAATTCAATAAATATTTACTGCATGCTCCTAAAATATGAGAGGCATGATGCTCTTCAGTATTAGAGCAAGTGGGACGGAAAGATGAAAATGACTATTAAGAAAATTCTATCTTCAATTTTAGGAAATAAAATATGCCCAGGCAAAAAGCAAAGTGTATGTTATTAGGTTATGGTATCATGAGAGTAGTTGAAAGTAATCAAATTAATAAAGCCATTTCAAATAATTTGAAAAGGTTATATATGCAAAAAAAATAAAGCATTAGAAGAGATTTAAGAAAGGAGATATAATTCTAAATTGCATTCGTTCAAGATTTTATCATGGAGGTTGCATTTGCACTAGGTCTTGATGAGGGGAAAATGTTAACAAAGAAGTCAAGGGAATGGCATCCCCAGGTTTAGAGGTGAAGAGGCGTACTTCATGTTCAGGGAATGGTAAATCAATTAGTTTGGCAAGAAGATAAGTTTCTTGTGTTGGACTAAAACCAGATAACACTGGAAAATAAAGGTGGAGTCCGGTTACAGAAAATACTGATAATCAGAGTAAGAAATTTGAATTTAAATGTAATTGGTACGCAATTTATATAAACAAGAGTATTTTGTGAAGGTCAATTCTGTGAACAAAAAGTTTTTTACTTAAATACTAGTCGAGAGTTGTCTTCATGATGGATTCCAGTTGGAAGACTTGTAGACAAGAAGAACAATATTAGGAAAAAATAGCAATACGAAAATGAATGGACGAGGGTAGTACATGCGGCCAAGCAGTGGGAATGGAGAGGAAGGAAGAGATGCAGGTGAGATTTTGAAAAAAAAATAGGGCCAGGGAATAATAATTAACTCTTGAGTGACATTTGTATGTACTAGGCTTTGTTTTAAATTATTTATATTTGTTATTTAATTTAACTTTCAAACAATTTTGAGACATAGACACTGTAGAATTATTCTCATTTACACAAGAGTAAATTAGGCAGCTCTTAGCGAAGTAGATTGTCCCCGGTCAAATAACAAGAAAATGGTAGGGCTGATATTTGAGTCCAGCTGGTCAAGCTCCAGAATCTCTGCAGGTAACCACTGTACATTATTTAAAAAAAATCTGATATTTTCAGCCTGACTAAACTGGAAAATGATATTGCCAATGGTCAGAGGAATCATTCCCCACCTCCCCAGAGTTTACCTCTCCTTTAAATTCATACTTTGTTCAAACCACAGTAGAATTCCTACCAATTTTTAAATATACCAGACATAATTATTTTTCTGTCTCTATGCACTTGGCACTCTTAACACTGTGCCCATATTCATGCATCTGTGACTCAAGTTCCACACATACTTCAAAATATAGTCTTTATACATCCCTTTCAGTGGCATTTGCTTATTATTGTTGCCAGAATTGTGCTTCCACAGACTTTATTATTATAAACCATTACACTATTCACCTTCATTATTTTTGACATCATATTGATAAATTCAACTGTCTTCATAATAGATTATAAACATTATAAAAGCAGAAATTATTCCATTCATTTTTCTCTCTTCCACAGTGTAATAATTCAAAGGTTTAATGAATGAGGAGGAAGTACCTATATTATTTATCTCAAACAATTATTATAAAAATATCTGTCTCCAGAATACATAGATTTTAATACCCTCTATTTCATGTATATTTTTAAAATAAATGAAATTAAAAACAACTATGTAATAAAAAAGAAAAAAGCCTTTACCCTTTCTTTAAGTCAAGTCTTTGGGAGGGGAGAAAAATTTGACTTTTTAGGGAGAAATATCTCTTATGGTTAGTGACAGATCTCTTGTATATCTTCAATGCTTGGCAACAGGAGAAAAATAATTTATGATATTTCTCAGTTGTAAATTAGAATAGTAAATATGCCATCTTAATATGATTTTTCCTCTTACCTTAGCAGAGCTGAAAATGAAAGAAGTTTAGAGTGCTAAATTAAAGATTTAATATTTTGGGCCCATGAAAGGCCAATTATTTTAGATCTAGT